AAACTGCTCTTTTTCAAGGACAGCTGTGCCAGAGCTTGTGACTGACCCAAGGTCACATCAGCAGGTGCAAGTGGAGGAGTGGGGAATCAAACCCGGCTCTCCCAGATTAGAGTCCGCACACTTAACCACTACACCAAACTGGCCCTCCCGCTGCCCATGTCCACTGATGCTTGCAGCCCTCTTTCCAGTGTCCTGGGCAGTGTGTGCAGCAGGGAGCACAGGTGGTGCGGCAGGGCCAGCAAGGGGGGGGGAAGGAGGTGCCGGCAGCAGTGGGTGTGGGAAGTGGGTGGTAAAGGGATGCCCGCAGCTGCCCCGTGGGAGTGTAGGCTGACGCCCGCCCTGCCTTCCTCGCTCCAGTTCTGTTACATCCTGGATCTGAGAACGTTAAAAAAGCAAAGACCAAAGGCAGGGTTGCCATTTATGGGTTGGGGAATTCCTGGAGATTTGGGGGATGGAGCCCGGAAAGGGACCTCAGTGGGGTACAAGGCCACAGAGTCCACCCGCCAAGGCCGCCATTTTCTCCAGGGGAACTGACTGCTGTACTCTGTCAATCAGTTGTAAATTTGGGACAACTCCAGTCCTCACCTGGAGGCAGGGGTCATTTCATAGAAAAAAAGGTGCAGGAGCTAATTAGCATAACTCATTAGCATAACTTGCATATGCCACACCCTCTGACATCACTAGAAGTGTGTGCACACCCACCGCTCAGGCGCCACTGGACTGCTTTGGATTGCTAGCTATTGGGGGGGGGGGACGACGTGCAGATCTGTCCTCGCAGAGGAGGGAGAGCTTGTACCTGAATAAAACTTGGTCGTAAAGGTGCCACTGGACTATTTTAGACCTGGGGGCCGGGGGGTGGGCTCTGCAGCTTACCTGTCTGCTTCGTGCTCTAACTGAGGGCTGCTGGGAACAGGGGGTGGGGCTTGTTGCATGTGCCCGCCCCCTGGTCTCTTTACTGCCGGAGCTCCGCTCCTGTGTGCTCCTGCAGGAAATGACCCCTGCCTGGAGGTGATGTGAAAGACCTTCACCTGAGACCCCGGAGACCTTCTGCCAGTCTGAGTAGACAATATTGACCTGGATGGACCCAGGGCCTGATTCAGTACAGAGCAGCTTCATGTGTTCACATGCTAGACCCACCTAGGGCGTTCTGATCCTCCGGACCCCACTGGCACCCTGTTCTTCAAGGAGTACTCACACAGCACGCGGAGAGTGACGGCTGGCGACGTGTTGGTGCCCTTCTTGTTCTTGGCCACGCAGTAGAATGTCCCGGCATCTCTGCTGACTGCGGCTGGGAAGACGAGCGCGTTCTCCCTCCCTTCTTGCAGCCACTTGGCGTTCTTGTACCACGTGTAAGTGGTCCCTTCCTCTGGTTCCAAGGTAGCCAGGCAAGTCAGCGTGACTCTCTCCCCTTCAGGGACCTCTTCGAAAGGATTGACCACCACCCTGGCAGCTGGGAATGCAACCGTGACACAAAGAACGCTAAAGACTTACTTGGCTACTTCATGCTGGTCACCAACACACTCATCAGAACATCGGAAAGGGCTTGCTGGATCAGACCAGAGAGGGTCCATCTAGTCCAGCATCCTGTCTTCTCACACAGGGGCCAGCCAGTTCCTCTGGAGGGCCAACAGCAGGTCACAGAGGCTGAGGCCTTCCCCTGATACTGCCTCCTGGCATTGGGGTTCAGAGGCTGACTACCTCTGAATGTGGAGGTTCCCTTTCATCACCAATGGACCTCTCCTCCATGGATACATATACATTTAATCCCATTTTAAAGCTGTCTATGCGAGTGGCTCAAGTGGTTAAGACACTGAACTGCAAACCGGAAGGTCAGCGGTTCGAGACCCGAGTGTGCCGCGTGACGGAGTGAGTTCCTGTCTCTGGCCCCAGCTCCTGCCAACCTAGCAGTTTGAAAGCAAGAAATTGCAAGTAGATCAAAAGGTACTGCTTCGGTGGGAAGGTCACAGCGTTCCGTGCGCCTCGGCGTCTAGTCATGCCGGCCACATGACCACGGAAACGTCTTCGGACAGCGCTGGCTCTTTGGCTTGGAAACAGAGATGAGCACTGCATCCCTAGAGTCGGATTCAACTGGCTTTCGAGCGAGGGAAACCTTTACCTTGACCTTAACTATGCCTGTGGCCATCACTACATCCTCTAGCAGTGAATTCCACATTTTCCTCACTCTTTGTGCAAAGAAGAATTTCCTTATCTATCCTGAATCTACTGCTCCTCAGCTTCATTGGCTGCCCTCGAGTCCTAGTATTTTGAGAGAGGGAGAAAAAGTTTTCTCTGTCAACTCTCTCTACTCCATGCATAATTTTATAAACCCCTATCAACGTTCTCGCTTAGATGTAGAAAAAGCCCAGCAGGAACTCATTAGCATAATAGGCCACACCCAACAGCAGAAACGCAGTAGCATATAAGGCCACATTCCTGACAGCACAGCTCATTAGCACATTAGGCCGCACCCCCATGTTACCAGAAGTGTGGTCACCCGGCCACACCCACTTTTTGCTTGTTATTCTGTTTACCTTGTTTGTTGTCAAAACCCAGGGCCTTTTTTTGTAGCAGGAACTCCTTTGCATGTTAGGCCACACACCCCTAATGTATCCAATCCTAATGAGTTCCTGCTGTTGGGTGTGGCCTATTATGCTAATGAGTTCCTGCTGGGCGTGGCCAACTCGGGAGCCAGCCGGAACTCCGTTCCTGTGCGTTCCTGCCCCAAAATAGCCCTGGATGCGTCTTTTCTAAACTGAACAGGCCCAGACTCTTCCGCCTGTTCTCATAGGCAGGGCTCTAGTCGGGGGGGAGCTCTCAGGTACGGAGCTCCGGAAGAGAACCTCTAGGGGGCGGGGCGGTCACGTGGTGAAGCCCCGCCCCCTTCTTTACCCCGCCCTCTGCTTCGATCCTCATTCCGTTTGGGAATGAGGATGAAGCAGGAGGGTAAGTAGCCGGGCCTTCTGACACACTTCCGGTGATGTCAGGCGGTGTGGCCTTCTGTCACTTCCGGTGATGTCAGGGGGCGTGGCATATGCAAATAAGTTATGCTAATGAGTTATGCTAATGAGCTCCGGCAGCTCTTTTTCTACAACAAGACCCCTGCTCATAGGTGTTTCAGTTCTTTAACCTTGGTCATCCTTCAATCTTTCCGCCTTTTCCATTGGTACTGGCGCAATGGCACAGGGACCCTTTTGGCCACCTCGCCTAATGAAAACACGGCCATGGAGGTGTAACTGAATGGAATAATAGAAAAGAGCCAGAGTCCAGGAGCGCCAACAAAATTTGTGGCAGGGGAGGAGCTTTCGTGAGTCACGGCTCACTTCTTCAGATACAGCTGGAACGTGAGTCCATCTGTTCCATATATTGGAAAGTGGAGTGATTTCAGAAAGTGAGCTCCTCCCCTGCCACAAATTTGGTTAGTCTTTAAGGTGCTCCTGGACTCTTGCTTGGTGGAACAAGCTCCTATTGAGGTTAGCCAGATGTCCCTCGGGCCAGAGACAGAAGAACTAAGAGAAGAAGAGAAGAAGAAGAAGAAGAGGAGGAGATTGGATTTCTACCCCACCCGTCACTACCCAAGGGAGTCTCAGAACAGCTTACGATCTCCTTTCCCTTCCGCTCCCCACAACAGACACCCTGGGATGTAGGTGGGGCTGAGAGAGCTCTTTCCAGAACTGCCCTTGAGAAAACAGCTCTGACAGAATCTATGATTCGCTTCTTACACTATGAACCTTGTGATCAGTTGAAATTGCTGAAATCAGGTTCCACTCACACAGCCGGCAAACTGAAGAAGTTGAAGGAAACGCATCTTCCAGATATCTAGAATGGGCGTCTTTGCAAAGGCTGTTTGGAATACGTTATGACTATGTGGACTCCTCCTATCAAGTTATCAATTACACTGAGTACATGGACTTTATGTCTTATCTTCAAAAGAGGAAATCTTGTATCTTATGCCTTATTACAGTGACAGTATGCACTCATGTTGTTGTGACACCACCAACTTTATAATTGTTTAATATATTGTTTTGGCAATCTTTGATGGTGTTTTCTACTAGTGGAATTTGTATATTTGGGACTCCTGTAACACTAGTCTTTTCCCCTTGTTGTTTGGATTTACTGACAGAACTACGGCTTGCCCAAGGTCATCCAGCAGGAGCAAGTGGAGGAAGAAGAGAAGAAGAAGAGAAGAGATTGGATTTGTACCCCACCCTTCACTTGGAGTCTCAGAGCGGCTTACAAACTCCTTTCCCTTCCCCTCCCCACAACAGACACCCTGTGAGGTGGGTGGGGCTGAGAGAGCTCTGACACAAACTGCTCTTTTTCAAGGACAGCTGTGCCAGAGCTTGTGACTGACCCAAGGTCACATCAGCAGGTGCAAGTGGAGGAGTGGGGAATCAAACCCGGTTCTCCCAGATTAGAGTCCGCACACTTAACCACTACACCAAACTGGCTCTCGAGTGGGGAATCAAACCCGGTTCTCCCAGATTAGAGTCCACGCACTTAACCACTACACCAAACTGGCTCTCTCCTCCATGGAGACATCCTTACAGACCACCTTAAAGACCAACAGGATTTTGTGGGTATGAGCTTCTGAGAAGCTGACAAAGGGAACTTTGAGTCTTGAGCGCTCAAATCAAGAAAACCTTATTGGTCTCTCAGATGCTGCTGGACTCGAACCTAGCTTTTAAAAAACAAAACAAAACGCCCCACCAGTCTCAAAGGGCTCTCTTCTACTGCAAAGATCGGACTTACTCTGGGCACCGAAGAACCTCGTAGTGGTGGCATTCCCATACTTGTTGGCCGCTACGCACTGATATTCGCCTTCGTCTTCTGGGACCACCTTCTGGATCTCCAGCTTCAGGGAGTTGCGGGTGGCGGTGACGCTGATCCGTTGACTGGGTGCCGAGTGCGAACTGGTGGTTGCGATGAGCTGCTTGCCCCGGAAGAGGCTCAAAGTGGACTGGGGGTTGCTGTCGACGGTGCAGTGAATGATGGCCAGTTTCCCTTCCTGGGTCTCTTGGAACAAGGCGAGGGTGGGTGGCCTTGGTGGATCTGCAGAAGACAAAGGAGAGGTCAAATACATGATGATGCCTTACGTAGAATCAGACCCTTGGTCCACCAAGGTCAGGATTGTCCACTCAGACTGGCAGCAGCTCTGCAAATTCTCTGGTCTTTCATCATCCCCTACTGCCTGGTCCTTTCAGCTGGAGAGGCCGGGGATTGAACCTGGGGCCTGTCAAGCAGATACTCTACCACTGAACCACAGTCCCTCTTTATAGCTCTCCAGGGTCTCAGGCGGAGGTCTTTCACATCACCTCCTGCCTGGTCCTTTTTAACTGGAGATGCTGCCAGGGATTGAACCTGGGACCTCCTGCATGCCAAGCAGAGGCTCTTCCACTGAGCCACAGCCCCTCTTTATAGCTCTCCAGGGTCTCAGGCTGAGGTCTTTCCCATCACCTCCCGCCTGGTCCTTTCTAACTGGAGATGCCGGGGATTGAACCTAGGACCTTCTGCATGCTGAGTGGAGGCTCTTCCACTGAGCCACGGCCCCTCCCCAACAGCCCAACTGGTGCATTGCCAGTTTGATGAGACAGCATCACCCTCCAAATGTGCATCGTATCACTTCTTTCTATCCACTTCTTTCAAGTGGCAGGAAGTCCCCAAAGCAGCTGATGTAAATTTTCTTGGGAAGGGAGAACACTAGAGACTTGGATTTTGATTTAATTTGCACTTTAAGTTTTATCCCCTCCTTTTTTAGCCCTGTGTTCTTATGGGCTTCATCCCATTTTGATAGCTACTGAAATAGCTTTTTAAATACTGTTTTACATTGTTTTAGGGTTCCATTGTTTTATGGTTGTTTTAGGGTTAGTTTTTGCGCTGGTGTCAGTATCAATGGGTTTTATAGTCTGCATTGTGTTGCGATTTCATTGTCGTATTGCTTTATTTTGTGAGCTGCCTTGAACAGCTCTCTGAAAAGGCAAGCTCTACATTTTGTATGGAAATAAGCCAATAAATAAACAAGGGTTCATTATAATGTCAGTTTAAGGCAGGGGAAGGAGGGGGGGAGGCAACTCCAAGGCAGACAGTCCTTAGGGATGCTGTCGGCTGATCCTGCACTGAGCAGGGGGTTGGATTAGATGGCCTGTCGGGCCCTTTCTGACTCTGTGTGATTCTAGGATTCTAACGCAGGGTTCCCCGATGGGCACCACAGCCCACTATAGCTTCATTTTAAAAGGCATCCTGCCTGAAACAATGAAGAGTTACTCTTAGAGTTATGATGTGTGAACTCACTCCATGAGATTTTGTGGTTGGCCCCGCTCAAAAAGGTCGGGCACCCCCGCTCAAAGTCGTAACTAGGCAGACTGTATGCCTTCCCCCCACCCAGCAGGGCTCCTCTGATGTTCTTATGAGACAAGGGTCCCGTTTCTAGTGTTTCTGTCCTGGGCCAGGCCCCTTGATTACCGCACAGCCTCCTCACGCCCTGTCGGAAGCACCCATGCACATTCATTCTGGACACAAAGCACGAAGAAGCAGCTCTGAAGACTCACAGAAGACATTCAGCCCAACGACTTGGGACTTCTCGCTCCCTTTGTCGTTCTGCACTTTGCACAAGTAGTATCCTGTGTCCCCAGCGGCCACCTCGTGAAAGATCAGCCTCCGGGCCGTGCCTTCCTTCATCCAGACGTTGTTCTTGTACCAGCTGTAGTGGATCTCTTGCTTGTCTTCCCCAGGAACATCACAGGTCAACATGACCGTCCCACCTTCCTGGACTTCGGAAGAAGGGCTGACGGACAGCAGGGCGGCTGCAGAGGGAGGGGAGAAGGAGAGGCAAGGAAAGGTAAGGTCCAGTTACGGCTTGTCCTGGCATGTCTGAACTTCTATGGGCGTGAAACGCGGCTCTCCAAGGTCTGGAGGATGGCTGAAATGATTACTGTCCAGCAAAGTTCCCTCTAAGCCGTGGAGTTGTGTGAGCAAAAATTCTACTTTGTGGGCTACTGGCATTAAAGTTGTGAGCAAGTGACTTGGCTACTGCATCAATTAGTTGGCTCTGGAGCCATCCTTCCTAAAAGGTAAAGGTAAAGGTTCCCTTGCTCGAAAGCCAGTCGAATCCGACTCTAGGGTTGCGGTGCTCATCTCCGTTTCAAAGCCGAAGAGCCAGCGCTGTCCGAAGACGTTTCCGTGGTCATGTGGCCGGCATGACTAAACACCAAGGCGCAAGGAACGCTGTTACCTTCCCACCGAAGTGGTACCTATTGATCTACTTGCAATTTCTTGCTTTCGAACTGCTAGGTTGGCAGGAGCTGGAACTAGAGATGGGAGCTCCCTCCGTCATGCGGCACCCGGGTCTCGAACTACTGAACTACTAACCTTCCACAGCCTGCAGTTCAGTGTCTTAACCACTTGAGCCACCTTCCTAAGCGGAGACAAAAATGTGTGAGCCAGAGGCTAAAAAACTGTGAGCTAGCTCACACTAACTCAGCTTAGAGGGAACACTGCTGTCCAGGCCGTCTTTTGGCAAGACTTCGAAGCACATTTGATACAGACCGAAAAGATTTGATTTTACTTTCTCACTGAATATTCATGCAAAGAGTTCCCCTTCAAAGTTGACTGTTTTGGGAATTAAGAAGGGCACACCACAAGGAAGGGAGAAAAAGCCAGAGTAAGAAAGAAAATGCAGAGGTGGCCGTCAATCAATAAAGAAAATGCAAATAGTTTACATCCTTGCATATATTTGAAATCTGCAGGCTCCTGACACATTAATGGACTTTTGCTCTAGGGTTGCCACCCTCTAGGTAGAGTCAAGCAACAAATAAATATACACCACAAGAAACTTTTGTAAATTAACGTGTTTTGTTTATAACTATCTCTCCTTATATATAATTGAATAGTGGGTGCCAAAGTTCTAAAATGCACTCCTTTAGTGTATGGACGCTTGAACTGTCAGTCAGAAGACGCTGGCTGGGTTGACTGGCTGCTTTGTACAGTCCCTCCTAGTGTTTCAAGGTCTTTTGCATATGGAAGCTGATTGGACTTCACTGCATTCCACACCTCAAACTCACCCCCCTCCCCGCAAGGCAGTTGGAATGTCAGTTGCATATGGAACCTTCAAGGTCTTTTGCATATGGAAGCTGATTGGACTTCACTCCATTCCACACCTCATACTCCCCCCCCCGGCAGTTGGAATGTCTGGTGGTGTGTAGGTCCCAGGATCATGTTTTAAAAGCTGCCTGGGGAGATGGGGACCTCAGACAGGTTACAGTGCCATAGACTCCACCCTCCAACCCAGCTATTTGCTCCTGGGGAACTATTGTTGCCAATCTTGGCCCAGCACCCATCAAACCATTCTCTTCAACCCCCTGCTGTGCAGCACACTTTCCCCTAGGGTTGCCAAACTCCAGGTGGGACCTGGAGATCTCCCACTGCTACAATTGATTTCCAGATGACAGAGATCAGTTTCCCCTGGAGAAAATGGCTGCTTTGGAGGGTAGACCCTATGACATTATACCTGCTGAGTCCTTCCGCCCCCCCACCCCGCCCAATGCTGCCCACTACAGAATCCACCCCCCAAAACTCGAGGTATTTCCCTCCTTAGAGCTGGCAACCCTACATTCCCCTCAATGCCTGTGGGTAGGCAACTAAGCTTGGTCCTGTCACCTACTTTGGCCTTTGGGAGAAAACACATTGGGGCCAGTCCTGATAGGGTTGCCAACTCCAGATGGGAAATTCCTGGAGATTTGAGGGATGGAGCCTGAAGAGGGTGAGGTTTGAGGAGGGGTGGGACCTCAGACAGGTACACTGCCATAGACTCCACCCTCCATACCAGTCAGTCCCACATAGGGAACCATTGTTGCCAATCTCCAGGTGAGGGCTGGAGAGCACTCAGAATTACAACTGCTCTGCAGAAGGGAGGGCAGAGGTCAGCTGAAGTCAAAGGGGCAGATAATGGTAGGTTGATGGTTAGCTGGGAAGGAGATGGGGTTGCCAACTACATGCTGACAAATTCCTGGGGATTTGAGGGGTGGAGCCTGGAGAGGGTGGGGTTTGCAGAGGGGTGGGACCTCAGGTAGAATGCCATAGACTACACCCTCCAAACCAGCCACTTTGTCCTGGGTAACAATTGCTGCCAATCTCCAGGTGAGGGCTACAGATCACTCACAATTACAACTGCTCTTCAGGGAGCAGAGATCAGTTCCTCTGGAGAAAACAGTGGACTCTGTCATTATACCCTGCTGAGGTCACCACAGCAAATTGACACTGTTTGCCCAAAGCCAGAGCACTCCCCCAGAGCCTCTTTCTAGATCCCGTTGTATTGCTTTCACAACGGGCTTTACTGCTAGTCATTCTATAAAGTGCATAGTGCGCTATTATAACATCCTTGCCGGGTATATATATTCAGTTCATTCAGTTTAACAATAACACTCAGTTCATACAATATAGCAACTACCAGTCAATTTTGCATCAGTATTTTAAAAGTCAAGCCGCAACGGGAGTTTCCAGAACTACAAGCCTGCTTCTACGTGCACGAAGTCTTCCAAAAAGGGGAGGGAACTTTCATTTATAGCTGTGTCGATGCTTATTGCCAGTCCTTGAGAATGACAGGAGCGCTCCATCCATGAATCTTAGCTGCACAATGTGTCTTTTGTAGGACCGGCTTGACTTTTAAAATACTGATGCAAAATTGTGGCTTGCCTGAGAACTGTGGCTTGCCCGAGGTCATCCAGCAGCTGCAAGTGGAGGCGTGGGGAATCAAACCCGGTTCTCCCAGATTAGAGTCCGCGCACTGAACCACGACACCAAACCGGCTCATAGTGGGTCTCATAGTTGAACCCTGCTGACACAGTCCCGCCTGGAGACCTGGAATTATAGTTGATCTCCAGATGACAGAAATCAGTCACCCCAGAGAAAATGGCTGCTTTGGAAGGTGGACTCCATAGCATCATACCCTGTTGCAGTCCCTCCCCAAGCTCCACCCCCAAATCTTCAGGAATTCCCCAACACAGACTTGGCAACTCGAGGCATCTCAGCAGTTTGTCCACCTGCCAGATGTGACTCTCGCTCTCGATACTCACTGAAAACATAGAGTGTTGCCGTTTCAGCCACCGCGGTCCCAACGGGATTCTCCACTTGGCAGTGGTACTGGCCGTAGTCTTCCCGCCTGATGCTCTGGATGGCCTTCACCTGCCCCGCCCCACAGGCCACCCCATCTTTGTACCACCTGTAAGCAGTGACTTCCGGGTAGCTGCTCGCCATGTTGCATGTGAGAGACGCAGCATCTCCCACGCGGATGTTCTTTGCGGATGGGCTTATGGACACTTTGACGCCTGTGGGAGAATCTAGGAGGAAACCAGCAAACAAGGCCTGTTGGAACGCGGCACCATATATTCACAAACATGGCAAGAATTGCCTGGATATCTGCTGTGGGGGAAGGCAGCCTTGTCCTCAGTTCTTGGGAACAATCCATGGGTGGCCTCAGGGTCAGGAAGAAGAAGAAGGAGAAGGAGAAGAAGAGGAGGAGAAAAAGAAGGAGGAGAAGGAGAAGGAGAAGAGGAGGAGGAGGAGGAGGAGGAGGAGATTGGATTTATACTCCGCCCTTCACTCAGAGCGGCTTACAATCTCCTCCCCCTCCCCCTCCCCACAACAGACACCCTGTGAGGTAGGCGGGGCTGAGAGAGCTCTCTCGAGGACTGCCCTCAAGAAAATGGCTCTGAGAGAACTTGTGACTGACCCAAGGTCACACCAGTGGCTGCATGTGGAGGAGCGGGGAATCAAACCCAGCTCTCCCAGATTAGAGTCTGCACACTTAACCACTACACCAAACAGAATAGGGTTGCCAGCCTCCAGGTGAGGCCTGGAGACCCTTTAGAATTACAACTACTCTCCAGCGGACAGAGATTACTACTCCCCAAACCCCGCTCTCCCCCAGGCTCCACTCCCAAACTGCCAGGAATTTCCCAAACTGGAATTGGCAACCCTAGGAAATAATGAGAATTCATATAAATTGAAACAAATAACTAAAAAAATAAAAGGCTCAAGCCAAGGGCCTTTTAGCTGCAGGCTGAATCCAGATTACTCTGGGAAAGTGCATTCCCTTGCCAAGAGTTCAATATTGAAGTTCAGGGACCAATGAAGCCATGTTCTGGCAAATAATTGCACACCTGCCAGATTCTACCCCACAATTGTTAGAATCTAGTTTGCTACTGATCTAGGCTGAACACACAATTACCTGGAAGTCTTCCACCGTAGGAGGGAGGGGCCATGGCTCAGCAGCAGAGCATCTGTTTGGCATGCAGAAGGTCTCAGGTTCAATCCCCGGCAGCATCTTCAGTTATAAAGGGCTAGGCAGGAGGTGATGGTAAAGACCTCCGCCTGAGACCCTGGAGAGCTATAAAGAGGGGCAGTGGCTCAGTGGAAGAGCCTCTGCTTGGCATGCAGAAGGTCCCGGGTTCAATCCCAGGCATCTCCAGTTATAAAGGACCAGGCAGGAGGTGATGGGAAAGACCTCCACCTGCGACCCTGGAGAGCTATAAAGAGGGGCCGTGGCTCAGTGGCAGAGCCTCTGCTTGGAATGCAGAAGGTCCCGGGTTCAATCCCCAGCATCTCCGGTTAAAAAGGACCAGGCAGAGGGTAACGTGAAAGACCTCAGTGAGACCCTGGAGAACTGCAAAGAGGGGCTGTGGCTCAGTGGCAGAGCCTCTGTTTGACATACAGAAGGTCTCAGGGTCAATCCCCTGCATCTCCAGTTGAAAGGACCAGGCAGGAGGTGATGTGAAAGACCTCTCAACCTGAAACCCTGGAGAACTGCTGCCAGTCTGAGTAGGCAATACCGATCTTGATTGACCAAGGGTCTGATTCAGTATAGGGCAGCTTTGTGTGTGTTCATGTCAACGGGAACCTTACATGTCAAAATGTGCCTGGGGCATGCCTGAAACCAAACCTGAAGAGGTTGGAGATGCTGGAGAGTTGCCAGAGATGAGAGCCAGTTTGGTGTAGTCGTTAAGTGCGCGGACTCTAATCTGGGAGAGCCGGGTTTGATTCCCCACTCCTCCACTTGCACCTGCTGGTGTGACCTTGGGTCAGTCACAAGCTCTGGCACAGCTGTCCTTGAAAAAAGAGCAGTTTCTGTCAAGAGCTCTCTCAGCCCCACCCGCCTCAAAGGGAGGGGAAGGGAAAGGAGTTTGTAAGCAGATCCACTCACGTTTCACCTGGAGCGTGACTTCATTCGCTTTGGCCTGGGCACCCGCGGTCACCTCGCAGCTCAGCTTCCGGTTGTGATCCTGCCAGGAGAGCGAACTGCTGAGGGTCTGCTTCTGCAGCACTCCCCCAGTGTCCAGCTGGACCGTCCTTGAGACACGAGAGGTCTCTGCGTTCTGTCCCGTCCACCGCAGAGAGATGCTGTCGTAGGGGCAGGCGTATGGACTGGAGCAGATGAACGTTGCCAGCTCATCCTCGCGCAAGTCTTCCGGGGAAGCGATAGCGGGACTGTCCGGAGTGTCTGAGGAGGAGGACAGGAAAAGGAAACGGGGGGGAAGTGTTTTCACCCAGTACACGCTTCTCCATCTGTGCCTTCCTTACTCTGGAGCTCTTCTCCATGGGCTGCCCTTCTCCATTCTCTCACCCCGCTTTCAGATGTTCCTCACTGCTGTTTCTCTCCCGAGTCTTTAAAAACCAAAGCCCACTTCTGCCTCATCTCCTTTGGCTTTGTCGGGTTCCTGCCTTCCTCACCCCAGGCATCATCCGACTTCCCTCCTCTCTAGACCAGGGGTGTCAAACATGCGGTCCGGGGGCCACATCAGGCCCCCGGAGGGCTTAAGAACATAAGAGAAGCCAATGTCGAATCAGACCAATGGTCCATCTAGTCTAACACTCTGTCACACAGTGGCCAAAAACACTAGGGACCATCAGGAGGTCCAGCAGTGGGGCCAGGACACTAGGAGCCCTCCCACTGTTGCCCCCCCCCCAAGCACCAAGAATACAGAGCATCACCTGCCCCAGCCTGTGAGTTCCTATCTATACCTTGTGCCTAATAGATGGACCTCTGCTCCATATGTTTATCCAGTTCCCTCTTGAAGTTGTCCATGCTTGTAGCTGCCACCACCTCCTGTAGCAGTGTATTCCATGTGTTAATCACTCTTTGGGTGAAGAAGTGCTTCTTTTTATCTGTTCTAACCCGACCGCTCAGCAATTTCATGGAGTGCCCACGAGTTCTTGTCTTGTGAGAAAGGGAGAAAAGTACTTCTTTCTCTACCTGCTCTATCCCATGCATAATCTTATAAACCTCGATCATGTCACCCCTCAGCCGTCGTTTCTCTAAGCCCCCAGTGGAACTGGCTGTCTTCTGCTTCTTCGTCCAGTTCTGCTGCTGCTGCGTCATGATAGGTTTGCAGCTTACAGATACATACCTGAACAGCATACTCGAGATTGCAACAGCACAGGCATTTCGATGCAGTAATTCAGAGCAAGAGGTGTCAGTTATCAGACATGGGTAAATAAGCAAAACATTGCAACAGTGCTAATATTTTAAGCATGTTTTTATTTTAAGTAAAAAAACAATCCTTTATGTTTGTGCCCTGTATAAAGTTTATTATCTCCGGAACCTGGCATTACTTTTTATGACACACACACAGCCCGGCCCAACAAGGTCTCATTTATGTCAGACCTTGCCCTCATAACAAATGAGTTCGACACCCCTGCTTTAGACTTTCTTCCTATCCTGCTTCTCTCTGAACGCCAGAGACCTGCCCTACCTCTCTGTGACATCAGGGAAGCGTAGCCAATCATTGCCCTCAGCACCAACAAGGTTTTGCATCATCAAATGTGGAGTCCGGTGAAGAATGTGGGGCCCGATTCAGTTTGATAGAACAGGGGAGCGGCCAAGGCTCAGTGGAAGAGCTTCTGCTTGGCACACAGAAGGTCACAGGTTCAGTCCCTGGCACCTCCAGTTAAAAGGACCAGGCGGTAGGTGATGAAAAAAACCTCTGCCTGAGACCCTGGAGAGCTGTAAAGAGGGGCTGTGGCTCAGCGGCAGAGCCTCTGCTTGGCACGCAGAAGGTCCCAGGTTCAATCCCCGGCATCTCCAGTTAAAAGGACCAGGCAGGAGGTGATGGGAAAGACCTCAGCCTGAGACCCTGGAGAGCTGTAAAGAGGGGCTGTGGCTCAGTGGCAGAGTGTCTGCTTGGCACGCTGAAGGTCCCAGGTCCAATCCCCGGCATCTCCAGTTAAAAGGACCAGGCAGGTGATGTGGAAGACCGCGGCCTGAGACTTCATCAGGGTCATGACACGGAGGCAACCAATAGCACACCACCTCAGAATGTCTCTTGCCTTGATGCAACCCGATGGCAAAAAACAACAATATGGCCGGATTCGGGATAAGGCGGCTTCATATCTGTTTAATAGCGCTGCGTTGTGCCATGCTGATACCCGAATAGATTTCATAGGGGTTTTTGAACCCTGGGGATTAGACGATTTATGGGAACTCATTCGTTTTCATCCGGAAAAACGGGACAGGGCAATTGCTGGTTTTCTCATCAGGGCAAAAAGAGCAGCTTTGGTATGTGTGGGTTGGAGAGAGGATCGATTCTCTCCCCTGTTCTGCAACTGAGATTGAATGCAGGATCCTTGTGGCAGACACGAGGGTGCGTTCAGACGGGCCGTTTCTGGCGGCATAAACTGTACCGGTTGGAACCGGTGCAGTTTCTGGCGGCATAAACGCGATCACACTTACCTCCCTCACAGCGGAAGCCATCGCAATACGCCCGTCCACACTCATCTTCAGGGTTTTTTTAACTTAGTTTGTGCATGCGCATAGGCAGCCATCCATAGAATGGCGATCTTCGCCCTTTCCTTTTCTTTTTATACAAACGGCAGGGCGAAGCTTCGCCCAAGCGCATATCGCCATCCTTTAAAAGAAAATGGCGGCCGAAAATCGGAAGCCTGAGGCTTCTGAACGGAAGTAGCTGTGCAACGGTGGAGAGCGATCAGACGGTGAGGTACAGCGTTTACAACTGTTGCACTCAGGATACCACCACTTGGGGACCTAGTGCCAGAGTGCAACGGTGTAAAGGGCTTTACACCGGTTAGGGACAGGAGGCAGATGTTCGCCGTCTGAACGCCGGTGAGTACAACGATTGCAACCGGCACCTATACCAATGTAAAGCCCCCATCTGAACGCACCCTCAGAGAGAGAAAAAAACTGAAAAAGACAATGGATCCAATCACAGCAGTATAGTATTGTATAGCGGTTAGAGCAGAGGTGTCAAACGTGAGGCCCAGGGGCCAGAACCGGCCCGTCCAGGGCTCTTCTGCGGCCCACGAACAACCGGTGCAAGGGAGGTAACCGGAGGCTGCTTGGGCAAGGCTCCCTCTAAGGTGTGGAGTCTTGTGAGCAAAAATTCTACCTTGTGAGCTCCTGGCATGAAAGTTGTGAGCGAGCGATTTGGCTGCTGCATAAATTAGTTTGCTCTGGAGCCCCCATCCTTCCTGAGCTAACGCAAAAATGTGTGAGCCGGAGGCTAAAAACCTGTGAGCTGGCTCACACCGACTCAGCTTAGAGGGGACACTGGAGTGGCGTGGGCGGAACCACTCTGACTGTGGCTTCAGCATGGCGGAACAGCCTCACCTGACTCTGCAGCCGTCGAGCAGCGTGGGAGTGTCTGCCCACGGCTGCACTGCTGGCTCTCCTGTCTGCCCACGTGGGTTCTTCTCTACACCCCCGCCCAGCCCAGGGGGCCTTGTAGTGAGGATACAACAACTCAGAGTTTACCATCTGCTGTCCTTTATGTAGTTTATATCCCTGGTACCTGGCATGACGCTTTATGGCACACCTGGCCCGGCAAAGTGACATTTATGTCAGATGCGGCTCTCGCAACAAATGAGTTTGACACCTCTGGGTTGGAGCATCAGACTGGGAGAACCAGCTCCAGATCCACAAGGCTCGTGGGGTAACCAGGGGTGGGTCTGTCTCTCTGTCTCTGTCTGTCTGTCTCTCTCTCTCAGTTTCTCCCTCTCTGTCTCTCTCTCTCTGTTGCTGTCTCTCTGCCTGTCTGCCTCTTTCTCAGTCTCTCTCTCAGTTTCTATGTCTGTCTGTCTGTCTCCCTCTCTCTCTGTGTTTCTCTGTCTCTCTGTTTCTCTCTCTCTGTCTCTCAGTCTCTCTGTCTCGCTGTCTCGCTGTCTGTCTCGCTGTCTCTCTCTCAGTCTCTCTCTCAGTCTCTCTCGCTCTCTGTTTCTCGGTTTCTCTGTCTCTCTGTCTGTCTCTCTGTCTCTGTCTGTCTGTCTGTCTCACTGTCTGTCTGTCTGTCTGTCTCTCTGGGCAATTTCTCACTAAAGCTGCCTTGCAGTGCAGCCGCCATTTGCCTCGACACAAACATGTCAATTTCATACCAGAAGCTGGGGGCTGCATTTTGACTCGCAGCTTCGCCCGATTTCCTCCGCAGTTTCGTGATCAGTCTCTCTGTCTGTCTCGCTCTCTGTCTGTCTGTCTCAGTCTCTCTCTCTCTCTCTGTCTCTCTCTGTCTCTGTCTGTCTCTGTCTCTCAGTCTCGCTGTCTGTCTCTCTGTGTCTCTCTGTGTCTCTCAGTCTCGCTGTCTGTCTGTCTCTCTCTCTCTGTCTCTCTCTGTCTCTCAGTCTCGCTGTCTGTCTGTCTCTCTCTGTCTGTCTCTGTCTCTCTGTCTCTGTCTCTCTCAGTCTCTCTGTCTGTCTCTTTCTCTCAGTCTCTCTCTCTCTGTTTCTCTGTCTATCTCTGTCTGTCTCTCAGTCTCGCTGTCTGTCTGTCTGTCTCTCTCTCTGTCTCTCTATCTCTGTCTGTCTCTCAGTCTCGCTGTCTGTCTCGCTGTCTGTCTGTCTCTCAGTCTCTCTCTCTGTCTGTCTCTCTCTGTCTATCTCACTGTCTGTCTCGCTGTCTCTCTCTCAGTCTCTCTCAGTCTCTCTCTCTCTCACAGACACACATGCACAAACACATCCTCTTTCAGTAACCTCACAGGGTTGTTGTGAGATAAAAGGGTAGGGGGGAGGGATCGTGTCCACTGCCTGAACGTCCTTGTAAGAAGGGCAAGCCACAACCTGTACCCTCCGGGATAGAGACCCTGCCTGCTTACCAGTGACCGTCAGCTCAACTCCTTGCTGATCCAACCAGCGGTTTTTCTCATCGATTTCAAACCGGAAGACATATTTGCCGCTGTCCTTTGTCTGGGTGCTCCTCAGGAGGAGGGTGCAGTTGCGCTCCCTGAGCGGGTCTCCGAGCAGTTCTGCGCGGCCTTGGAACTGAGCGTCCACGGCGTCCGGAGTCGAGGAATGGAAAACCGGAATGCGCTGCCCCCCGTTATCTTTGTACCAGATGGATGTGATGCTCTCCGGGGTGTTCACAGGGTAGTCGAAGGTGCAGGGGATCAGGACACACGAACCTTGGACACTCCGCAGACTCCTGGGGTACGTGACGCTCCATGAGGCCAAGGCTGGAGGGAGGCAGAATGCAAGGCGATGGCCAGGGGTCATTTCGCAGAAAAAGAGGTGCAGGAGCTCATTAGCATAACTCATTAGCATAACTTATTTGCATATGCCACACCCCCTGACATCACCGGACGTGTGTCAGAAGGCAACACCCACCGCCAGTTCTTATTTTTGTTTTGTTTACTTATAACCTATCCTGTGATATTACGTTGAAGAAAAAGAAGGAGAAGAAGGAGAAGAGGTAGAGGAAGAGGAGGAGGAGGAGGAGAAAGAAGAAGGAGAAGAGGAGGAGGAAGAGGAAGAAGCAGAAGAAGAAGAGGTTGGATTTATACCCTGCCCTTCACTACCCAAAGGTGTCTCAGAGCGGCTTACAAACTCCTTTCCCTTCCCCTCCCCACCTCAGACACCCTGTGAGGCAGGTGGGGCTGAGAGAGCTCTGACAGAAATGGCTCTGTTTTAAGGACAGCTCTTATCAGAGCTATGGCTTGCCCAAGGTCATCCAGCAGGTGCAAGTGGAGGAGTGCAGGAATCAAACCCGGTTCTCCCAGATTAGAGTCCACGCACTTAACCACTGCACCAAACTGGCTCTCCACACCCCAACATTAGAACTAATCTCCAGACTACAGAGATCAGTTCCCCTGAAGAAAATGGTGGCTTTGTGGAGTGGGCTGTATGTTACTATACCCTGCTGAGGTCCCCCCCCAAAAATCCTGTCCTCCCCAGGATGGGTAGAAGGGACTCTGGGGAAGGGAGGGACGCCAGTGTGGATGTGAAGCCACAGAGTCCACCCTCTGAAGCTATTTCCTCCAGCTCAACGGATCTCTATAATATGCACCTAAGTTGTAAATCTGGGGGGACTCCAGGTCTCACCGGGAGGTTGGCAACCTGAGGTTTGTATCAGGATTTCTTTCTGGGTCCAAGAAGGCAAAATTCAGTCCCATGGGCTAACTTCCGGATTCGCTTCAAAGTACTGGTGTTTTCCTTTAAAGCCCTACATGGCCAGGGTACGGCATACCTGAGGGACCGCCTTTCCCCATACAGGCCCCAAAGAGCACTTTGGTCGGGTCACAACACCGCCTAGTGACCCCGGGCCCTATAGAGGCCAGGCTTGCTGCCACAAGGGCCAGGTCCTTCTCGGTGGCTCCTACCTGGTGGAATGAGCTCCCGGAGGAGATCAGGGCCCTGCAGGACCTCTTACAGTTCCGCAAGGCCTGAAAGACAGAGCTCTTCCGCCAGGCTTTTGAGTAGGAGCCGCCGCCGCCACTATTACCACCATCGTCCACTGCAGAGCAGTTCCGCCGGGGTGGGCTGATTAGCCACCAGGAACATCTTGGCCCATGGCCTTCCCCCCTTTCTTCTGATCTCACTGTGATGTACAATAATGAGTATTTTAATCGTCGATGTATCCTGTAAAATATGAATTTTGGTTTTAAGTGGTTCATCTGTGTAGTTTTATCGCACCTTGGGTGCCTTAATTGTTTTAATCCTGTTGTATTTTATTGCACGGTTGTGCCTATGTAAGCCCCCCTGAGCCCGCGCACGGGGAGGGCGGGGTATAAATGAAAATAAATAAATAAATAAATAAATAAACTTCAGGACAGAGAAATGGTATGGAGGAAAAGCATAACCCTGCGGCACAGTTGTGATCTGAACTGGGTCCCACACGTCGGGTACGTGAATGAAAAAATCCCTGGGAATTCCGTCCCTTGTCTGATCCAGCCCTTGGTGGTCTCCCGCCCCGATGCTCCGCCTCATTCATGAGCAGATGTACCAAGCAATCGTACCTCGCAGAACACAAAGAGCAAGTTCTAGAAGGAGCAGGAGCCTGGTCATGGCGATTCCTGGGAGCAAATCCAAATCCTGGAGAGGGAAAATGCAGAATTAGATGCAAGGACATCAACCCAAAGAGCGAGATACCTGTGACTTTATGAGTTACTCATAATCTACATTAGGGGTATGTGTTTAGCAACAAATGCCCAGAAATTATTGTAACCCATTGGAATTGACAAATCATCAACAGTTTGGTGTCGTGGTTAAGTGTGCGGATTCTAATCTGGGAGAACCGGGTTTGATTCCCCACTCCTCCACTCCTAGCTGCTGGATGGCCTTGGGGAAGCCACAGTTCCGTCAGAGCTCTCAAAGACACTTCTGGAAAGAGCTCTCTCAGCGCCACCTACCTCACAGGCTGTCTGTTGAGGGGAGGGGAAGGGAAAGGAGTTTGTAAACCGCTCTGAGACTCCAGGTGAAGGGCAGGGCATAAATCCGATCTTCTCTTCTTCTTCTCTTCAGAAACCATCAGATCTGGCTGCTATTAGCTGCTACCCTGGACCCCGCTCTTTGTTTCAAAATTCAAGATGGCTGGGGGGAAGTGCATAACTGACAGGGGAGTTAACCGATCAGCAGAATTATACACAGACTTTTGCCTCTCTCGAGACGATTGTGCCCAGATTGTCTTTCCAAGATGTCGTTTACACCAATCACGTTGCTCTCTCCCTAGCTTGGAGAAGGCACCGATGCTGCCACCAGATTCCTTTCGATTCTGCTCTCTCTGGTACAATGGCTGCTTGGCAACAGGCTAACACGGCTGCTCCTCTGGATCAGTGAAAGGAGTGAAGCGAGGCATGTGACAAAGAGCTGCCAGAAAGAGGAAGCAAGAAGAGTTTCCTCTTCTCCATGGTGGGACTCGCAAGAGAGTAGTGGAGAAGTTGCAAGCCAGAGGGTGACCTCGAGGGAAGCTTTTGGAGAGGGATTCTTCCTGGCAGAGAAAGTGCTTGAGAAATAAAGGCTGCAACTGACTCCTTGCAATGGGGATGTTTGGGGCCGTGCTGCCTGTGCACCGGAAGAGACCACAGTGACCATCTCACTATCTTGGGTGCTTGTAATGGCAGGCGAGGCGGGTTAGCCTCAGCTTTCCTCTTTAGTGATTGGATCTGAGAATCTAAGAACATAAGAACATCAGAGACGCCAATGTTGCATCAGGCCAAAGGCCCATCTAGTCCAACACTTTGTCACACAGTGGCCAAAAATACCAGGTGCCATCAGGAGTTCCACCAGTGGGGCCAGGACATTAGAAGCCCTCCCACTGTTGCCCCTGCCCCCCAAAGCACCAAGACTACAGAGCATCACTTGCCCCAGACTGAGAATTCCTATCTCTACCTTGTGGCTAATAGCCACTGATGGACCTCTGCTCCAGATGCTTATCTAATTCCCTCTTGAAGCCGTCCATGCTTGTAGCCGCCACCACTTCCTGTGGCAATCTGTCTTAAGTCTCAGTGGAGGCCCTTCCAACAGGCATCCAAAGTGCCAGAAGTCTGCATGGGAAGCTTGCAACACACTCTGTGACTTTTCTCTGCAAAGTTCAGTTATACACAAGACAAAAACACATCAAGAACATAAGAACCCTGTGAGAAGAGTCCTGCTGGATCAGTCCAGTGGTCCATCTAGTCCAGCATCCCGCCTCACACAGGGGCCAGCCAGTTCCTCTGGAGGGTCAACAGCTTGGCATAGAGGCCGAGGCCTTCATAAGAACATCTGAAGAGCCTTGCTGGATCAGACCAGTGAGGGTCCATCTAGTCCAGCCTCCTGTCTCACATAGGGGTCAACCAGTTCCTCTGGAGGGCCAGCAACAGGGCAGAGAGGCCGAGGCCTTCCCCCTCATAAGAACACCAAAAGAGCCCTGCTGGATCAGACCAGTGAGGGTCCATCTAGTCCAGCCTCCTGTCTCACACAGGGGCCAACCAGTTCCTCTGGAGGGCCAACAGCAGGGCAGAGAGGCCGAGGCCTTCCCCTGATGTCACCTCCTAGCACTGGTCACATGAAGCTGCCTTATACTGAATCAGACCCTTGGTCCATCAAGGTCAGTGTTGTCTACTCAGACTGGAAGCACCTCTCCAGGGTCTCAGGCAGAGGTCCTTCACTGAGCCATGGCCCCTCCCCAAAATTCAGAGGTTTTCAGAGCTTTGCTGCCTCTGAACATGGAGGTTTCATTTAGTCACTATGACTAAGCGGTCAGTGACGGACCTGTCCAACATGAATCTGTCTAACCCGTTTTTATAGCCGACTATGCCTGTGGCCATCGTTTCATCCTCTGGCAGTGAATTCTACATTTTAGTTGCTCTCGGAGTAAGGAAGTATTTCTTTTTTCCTGTCCAGAATCTACTGCTCATCAATGTCATTAGATGTTGCAGTTCTAGTACTTTGGAGGAGGGGAAAGGCCCTCTCTATCTGCTCTCTCTACCCCATGTATAATTTTATAAACCTCTCTCATGTCCAGTGTTCCCTGTAAGCCGAGTTAGTGTGAGCTAGCTCACAGGTTTTTAGCCTCCGGCTCACACGTTTTTGCCTCCGCTCAGGAAGGAGAGCTCCAGGGCAAACTGATTCGTGCAGTAGCCAAATCACTCCCTCACCACTTGAATGCCCAGTAGCTCACAAAGTAGGATTTTTGCTCACAAGACTCCACAGCTTAGAGGGAGCATTGCTTATGTCCGTCCATCCCCCCCCTCCCCCAGTTGTCACTTTTCTAAATTGCAAAGTCCCAGACTCTCCCGCCTTTCCTCCTAGGGAAGGGGCTCCAACACCCTCGTCATCTTGGTTGCCCTCCTCGGCACTGTCTCCAGCTCTGCCCGTGTCCTTTTTGAGATATAATCAGGGGTCATTTCATGCAGGAGCGCTCCGGCAGTAAAGAGCCCAGGGGGCAGGCACATGCAACAAGCTCCCAGCAGCCCTCAGTCAGAGCAAGAAGCAGTCAAATAAGCTGCAGAGCCCCCCCTCCACCCCCCGGTCCAAAACAGTCCAGTGGCACTTTTAAGACCAAGTTTTATTCAGGTACAAGCTCTCCCTCCTCTGTGAGGGACAGATCTGCACGTCCGTCCCCCCCCCCCGCAATAGCTAGCCATCCAAAACAGTCCAGTGGAGCCTGAGCGGTGGGTGTTGCCTTCTGACACACTTCCGGTGATGTTAGGGGGTGGGCATATGCAAATAAGTTATGCTAATGAGTTATGCTAATGAGCTCCTGCACCTTTTTGTCTACGAAATGACCCCTGGCCAGGAGGCAACATCAGGGGAAGGCCTCGGCCTTTCGGCCCTGTTGCTGGCCCTCCAGAGGAACTGACTGGCCACTGTGTGAGACGGGAGGCTGGACTAGAGGGACCCTCACTGGTCTCTCCCAGTAAGGGTCTTCATACGTTCCTAGACTTGCACATTCTGTGGTGAAAGAGGAGCCCATTGTTATGACTGGGACCTAACTGGGAAGTAGTAGCAGACTTCCTGACGCATCCTGGTTCAGCAATTTCATGCCAGCGTCTCCCAATGATTGCCTGACTCACAAAAGGCAGATGGAGTCACACCCTCTTTGTGGTTCAGGTTTGGTGGCAAGAGGTGCAGGCAGGAGCGCCCCTCGGGAAAGATGCAAACGGGACTTCTGGTCTGTGAGCCGTCTGCCCCACACGTGAGACATGGCGCTAGTGCCCAAAATAGCACTTCTGCTTTGGCGACATCCGTCTGGGAGAGGGAGACGGACTCAACTTCCCCTCTGTCTCCTGGGCTCAGCTCCTCCGCGGGCCGCTCTCTCCTCCGGAGTTTCGTTTCTCCGGCCTCTGCCCTGCTTCGGAACCAGAAGGCCAAGGAGCTTCGCTTTCGCTCCTCTCCCCTGTGGCAGTGGGGCCTATTCCCCATCGGGGAGAGGTCAGGTCAGGGGTGTGGATCAAAAGGGATTTTGTTGCTTCCGGCAAGGTGTGGCCCTCCCCTCTTGTGATCTCTCAGGGTGCCAACCTCCCGGTGGGGCCTGGAGTTGTCCCCAAATGACCACTGATTTCCAGATAAGAGAGATCAGTTCCCTGGAGAAAATGGCTGCTCGGGGGGGGGGGGGGACTCTCTGGCTTCACAATACCTGCTGAGGTCCCCCCATCCCCAAACTCTGCCCTGCCCTCCTTGGGCTCCACCACCAGGGATTCCCCAGCCCAAAGATGGCAACCCTAGCCCACAGCTAATGAGCCCCCGTGCCTTGGGTGGGGGGAGGGACTCTTCAGCTCATCGGCGTCTAGACAGGTGGAAAGGGATCCACTGTGGGAGAGACTGCCTACTTTCCTGCACTTTTTTATTCCATTAAAAGTATTTCTATAACATTTTCCCTCTAGAACAGGGGTGGCCAAACGGCGGCTCTTTCACACATATTGTGCAGCTCCCGGCAGGGCGGACGGGGAAGCGAAGGGGAGGCATACTTTTTCCCCCTCCCTCCCCATCTATTTGCTCTCTCTCTCTCTCATATAAGAACATAAGAGAAGCCAGTGTGGGATCAGGCCAATGGCCCATCCAGTCCAACACTCTGTGTCACACAGTGGCCAAAAACACCAGGTGCCATCAGGAGGTCCAGCAGTGGGGCCAGGACACTAGGAGAACCTCCCACTGTTCCCCCCCCCCAAAGCACCAAGAATACAGAGCATCACTTGCCCCAGGCTGAGAGTTCCTACAAGAACATAAGAGAAGCCAGTGTGGGATCAGGCCAGTGGCCCATCCAGTCCAACACTCTGTCACACAGTGGCCAGAAATACCAGGTGCCACCAGGAGGTCCAGCAGTGGGGCCAGGACACTAGGAGCTTCCCACTGTTGCCCTCCCCGCACCAAGAATACAGAGCATCCCTTGCCCCAGACCGAGAGTTCCTATAAGAACATAAGAGGCCAATGTTGGATCAGGCCGATGGCCCATCTAGTCCAACACTCTGTGTCACACTGCGGCCAGAAATACCAGGTGCCATCAGGAGGTCCAGCAGTGGGGCCAGGACACTAGAAGCCCTCCCACTGTTGACCCCCCCAAGCACCAAGAATACAGAGCATCCCTTGCCC